GTGTTCCTATCTGCCAACAGATCAAACTCCTTGAACTTTTTAACTAGCTCAATATAAGCTAAGTCTTTTTTGTTCCTGTCGGAGTATTCTTTGCTCTTAACGAGCCACAAACAGGTAAAACTTCTATAAAGTTCTAAAAATTCAATTAAGAACTCACGACGTGTTTGTTTACTTGCATTTTCTGCCTTGATTACCTACAACACTCACGAAACAACCCAACAATACAAACACCTCAGCGCAAAAACAGAATGGACACTGAGTGAAATCGCAGCAATGAATTGGTGCAACTGTTTACACGTTCCAACATGTCGTTACGATTGCCAGAAATTGATGCCGGCCGGCATCAACCATCCACTCCAACTCCAATCCCAATAAATCGCTACAATCTCCCGTTTACACACAACGATAAATTGTAACAATCTGATCGTTACGATAAATTGCTACAACGTATCGTTGCGTGTAAAGTCCCCTTAATATTTAAACGTACCCAGTTGTAAATTTTAAATTTGCACTTTAACACCCTGTATCTTTCTTAATATTAACATTTTATTAAAGCAATTTGGCTAAAATCGTAATATTTTAAAGTGTAGAATCTACTGTTTCTTTTTGTACAATTACATAAGGGCGACCCTGTATATGATTCATTAAAATAATTAGCAAGAATTAGTCATATACAGATATAAAAGCATCACATCGTTAAATTAGATTTCTTGCAGCTTTTATAGGCATTAACTATTAAATATTAAGATTCTTATGTAAACAAATAATATTTTTAAATTTAGGTCAGTCTGTGTACAAAGTTATGTTTATTATAATGTGCTTACATCAAGAATTATACTGGAATTTATAGAACAACGATGAAATTGATAGTAGATCAATCCGTTTATTTTGTACATGATTATGTTTCTTTTTTTATATGATGAGTGTTCAGTATTTATAATTTCCTTCGAGGCGTAATATGATCCATTTATATAACGCACAGTGTACAAATATTTACAGTTTACAAATCCATTATTACGTGTCGGTTGTTAGTGGTTCCCAGAACTATAATAATTCTTGTGATGCTTACATCTTACATCTTTTGTTTAAACCTATGGTTATGTATGGTTATCTTGTGTATTGATCGAAATCAGTTAGTTATATTTAGTTGTTAGCAACAACTTTAGTGAAAAATATAAACTATAGTGTTTTTTACATTTTTAGAGTGTTGATAAATTGTAAAATTGTGTGGAAAACAATTAGTTTAGAGCACCCAACATAAACATAACCAACAGGGTTGCCAGGTGAAAATTTTTGTCCTCCCTAAATTGAACATTTAAATATCCCTAGAAATCCCTAGATTGGAATAAATGTATATATGGTTGCCTAATTCTGAATAAAATTATGAGGTGTATTGATAGTTGCCTAATATAATAACATTGATATAAAAAAATTGTTGTTTTTATACCTTTATTTCATAAACATTACATTTTTAAACAGTACAATAGCGATAATTTGAATAAATTTAACAAAACGGAATAACGTACGTATTTAGGCTTTGAATATTCCATTTAATATATTATTATGTATTATTTACTTAATAAAATTAATAACAAAATACAACTTGAAGAGAAATGAAACGGTGAAGCATAGAATTTTATTTATTTATTTTCAGAATCCTGTAAATCACCCGATTCCTACTTTAAATCCCCTAATTATTTATTTTATAAAACCTAAGACTTTTGTAAATCCCCTAATTCCAGCTCCAGAATTTGCTTCTTCCTCCTAAAATATAATAGGGAATCTATTTTTGACAGAAATCTATTTGGTAGCATAAAATAGATTCCAAGAACGTGGACAGTTAGCGACATCTGATAATAGAATCCTTAAGTAGTTTACTATTAGTTTAATTATTTGTAATGAAAGATCGCTTATTAATACTGTTAATACGAAGTGGTTTTATACCTGAATTAAAGAAAATGTTATTAGAATAGGCCTATGTAGTAAACATTTGAGCCGGTCAAAAATCCCTAGATTTTACATCAAATATCAAAAAAAATCCCTTTGTCCCTTTTATACTGAAATATCCCTAGATTCGGGATAATCCCTAGACCTGGCAGCCTTGATAACCAAGTATATTTTCATCAAGGCACCGCAGCACAGTGTTGCCATATTTTTTTTTGTAAAATATGTATATTAATGTTAAAAATATAAAGGTACGTTTACGAAATTATAATTTGTGTTATGAGAATCTGTTTAGAATAAGTATCAAACAGCATTCATAAATATTTTCTTTTACTTTAAATGCAGTTAAACATCGTAAATTATTTGTGGCAATTAAGCTTTCATAAATGAAGTTTAAGTTTTAAAATAAATTTAAGTTTAGTTTATCTTCATTTTTTATCTTTAATTTTATTTAATTAAAATCTATGAATTTTTTATATCATTTCAATGTACTTCTATTATATATGTATTTTTTTAAATTCATCTTTATGTAATGTGACATTATGAAATAACTGAGGATATGGCAACTCTGACAACATTTAAGCATACATTAAACGTCAAATGTCAAATACAAGTTTGGTTATGTTAGGTAGTTTTAAACTTAAACTAATCATTGTCGAATAGTGTAACTAAAAACTTCAGCACAGCAATGAGATTGAGGTATTCCCTGAGGGGACAGGTATATCTACACAGAGGTTAGTGATACCCTAAAGCTCGATTCAGACACATCAGTCACGTCTCGTCACAGTCCTGGCGCCGAACCGAACAATCCGTCATACAAAATATTCTTTAATAGAAATATGGTGCCGGCATTCACATTTATCAGGCGATGAACAGTTTCCCAGCTGTCAGATAGTTGATAGTTCTGTGACCAAAAAGGACCGGTTCGGCGCCGAGACTATGACGCGACTGATGTGTCTGAATCGACCTTAATTCGACTTTTTTATGTTTCTGTTTGTTAGGATTAAGACAATTCAATTTATGTATGATTGCATCAGTTAAAATTATTGGTATGGTAATATAAGTAGACCAAGAGGGTCAATAGTTTAATGCTTCCCTTACCGATGATTGTACAATACATTTTTTTGGGTGCCAAATGTTCTTTTTATGTAATTTCCATTTAAAATGTCTTATTTTTAAAACCACCGCTATTATCCGCCATTATATACCACGAAACAACAATAAATGACACTAGTGACAACCATTTTATACATCAATATTATTTTTATTATATTATATCGATATCGATGTTTCATATTTTGCTCAAGAAGAGTAATTCTAACCAGTGTTGCCATAGTTATACAAAATATGTTTTCAATATAAGGTTGAATGCTCGAATAAATGAACTTTGATGATGTACAAGGCAAATATCGAACACAGTATTAATTAAATCTTGCCCAAGTACTTTCGATCACTAGATCATCCTCAGGGGCATTTCGTCAGTTGCGGCCTATCCGACAAGAGCAGAATGTCATAAATATAAAATGGGACATAACAATACACTACACAAAGACAAACAAACACTTTAAAATTTTTGAAGATTGGCGAAGCTACATGGTATATAGGCTATTCTGTCTCCGGCTTCTATATACCATGTAGCTTCGCCAATCTTCAAAAATTTTAAAGTGTGTGTTTGTCTTTATGTAGTGTATTGTTATGTCACATTTTATATTTATGACATTCTGCTCTTGTCGGATAGGCCGCAACTGACGAAATGCCCCTGAGGATGATCTAGTGATCGAAAGTACTTGGGCAAGTTTTATTTAATACTGTGTTCGATATTTGCCTTGTACATCATCAAAGTTAAAATATGTTTTCTTATAAAAATAAAAATTTAGATTTTTAATTATATTACATTTTATTCTTATCTGCTTTTAACAGGCACTGCTTTGTTATCAGGGTTAGGTTAGGTTTGGCTACGTTAAGTTCATAGACATATAATACAAATAGACTGTTGCGGCAATACAGTCGCGTTTCCCCATTGCGACAGAGAACACTGACGCAAAGCAATCCCAGCGTCTCTTTCTAATTTGTTAGGTTTATCGACCACGTGACCTAAGTGACCAAGAGAAGATCACGTGGTCCATAAACCCGGCTCATAAGAGAGAGATGTAGGCAGTAGGACTGCTTTACGTCAGTTTTCTCTGTCGCACTGGGTTAACGGGCTGGTATTGTAACAATCTATTTGTATTATATATGTCTATACTCTATGGAGTTAGGTTAGATTTGGTTAGGTTAGGTATGGTTACGTTCAATTATATTAGGTATATTAACATTGTTTTACATTTGTAATGAAAAAATATAAAGAAAAATATGAAATTGTTTAAATAGTAAATATTATGAGCTCTTCAGGCTAATTTTATGTTAGGTTAAGTTCATCATCATCATTCTGGCTTTACAACACTGCGTGGGTCCTAGTCTACTCAAGAATTTCTCTCTAGTTGTTCCTACCGATCGCCTTTCTCCGCCAAGCACGTATTCCCATATTTCTCATGTCTTCATCGATGTTATCAAGGAACCTGGTTCTGGGTCTTCCTCTTCACCAAGGTTGAAGTCTGAACTACTCTTCTTTTACGTCAATTGACTTTTCTATGTGTGGATAAATCTTTCGTAACAATAGAAAACAGTAAAATTTGAGCTTCTTTCACTTTTTCGGCTGTTCACAAAAAATTCGCCATTTTAAATGTGTACCCTCGTATTCTCAATAATTACCGAATATTATATCGGCCACAAGTCCACTAAAAATTGCGCGTGTTATCTGTGCGCTTCATTGTTGCCACTTTTCAAGGATTGAAAACTGAAAATCACTTACCTTAATAAGTCAATAAAAATATAAAACGTTGTTTTATAATATTTTTGTAGAAAAAAACCTAATATAACCTAAACTCATTTCATTGATATAAATTTCAGGTTCGTAGTGCTCGTACCATTTTTTTTATATTTACTGGTATCTATATGTTAGTAAATATTTTGTTGTCAATTTGATATTTTCATTGTTTTGATGTTGTATTTTTTAGAACCCAAACTCACCGACGAAATTAAAAACCTGTTCAAAAATACGGAAGATATTGAAGAAGAATGTGAACGATTGATGGCTAACAACACCTTGATGTCTATACAAAAAACTAAGGATTGTACCAAACGAATAGAAGAAGTGCTGGCAACCGTTCTAGATCAGTGCAAAGCGTATCCTTTTGGTTCAAGAGAATCTGGACTTGGAAATGATGTAAGTCTAAAAGATTACCTATTAATATCTTCTTCAACCTCTTACTAAACAAATATTGAATTTTTTAGAAAAGTGACTTGGATTTATACATCGATGTAGGAGGTATGTATTACGGAGACAAGAACCAGGATGCTTTATTTCAAGCCCATATTGTAAAACAAGTTGAGAGTATTTTAAGCAAACATCGAACTGAATTTTCAAAAATCATTACGGTACCAGGAGCTAGAACCCCAATTGTTAAAGTACACCATATTTCCACTGGAATAGACTGCGATTTATCTTTCAGACATGGATTGAGCGTCGAAAATACTAAATTTTTAAAGTAAGTTGTGCTTACCGTTATCTTCATCATCATCATCCAGCCTCTATTTATCACGTCCGCTGCTGGACATATGCCTCCCTTAAACTCCTCCATTCCTCACGATTTTTTGCTCTTTGTTGCCAATTTTTAAGTGATGTCGTCGGCCCAGCGTGTAGGTGGTCTTCCTCTACTGCGTTTGTCTGCTCTTGGCCTCCAATTTGTAATTTTGCTCGTCCATCGTGAATCGTGCATTCTCGCTACATGGCCTGCCCAGTTCCATTTTAGTTCCGCTATGCGTTCCACAACATCAGTAATACTCGTCCTTCTTCGCAGATCTTCGTTTCTTATTCGGTCCCTCAACGTCACTCCCAGCATAGACCGTTCCATTCGTCTCTGTGCCACTCTCAGTTTCGAAGCCGTGGTCTTGGTTAAAGTCATAGTTTCCGCCCCATAGGTCATGACCGGTAATACGCATTGGTCAAAGACTTTTCTTTTGAGGCTGATTGGTATGTTGGCCCTAAGTGTGTCTCACAGTTTTCCAAAGGCTGCCCATGTTAAAGTAATTCGTCTTTGGATCTCACATGTTTGGTTATCCCTTTGATTCTTATTTCATGACCCAAATACGTATATTTCTCCACCAGTTCTACCACTTTGTCTTGAATAGTCAAATGGTTATTGGGGACCAAATTTGTCATAAACTTAGTTTTGGTCAAGTTCATTCTCAGGCCCAACTTCGAACATGCAAAATCCAATTCGTTTATCATATCTGTAGCTTCTCCTAAATTATCTGTGATAAGGACAATGTCATCTGCGAAACGGAGATGGTTAAGCTTTTCGCCGTCTATCGTTACTCCTCTGTGGTCCCAATTGATCATCTTAAAGGCATATTCTAATGCCGTTATGAATAATTTCGGCGACAATGTATCTCCTTGCCTTATTCCACGATTTATTTTTATTGGTCGGGTTTTATTGTCCATTTTAACAGTCATAGTGGCATTTTTGTAAATATTATAAATAAGCTCACTATACCTATGGTCAATCCTGCTGTCATTCATTGCTTCTATAAGGCTGTCTAATTCGATCGTGTCGAACGCTTTATGAAAATCTATGAAACGTTATTTATTGGTATATTATTGAAGTTGTTTTGAGTAAAACTTGGAGGTCGCTGGTTAAATAAAATTGGAATAATAATGGAGAAAAAATGCAACATTTCGACTGCAAATAAATTAGCGAAACATAGCAACTATAATTGTGAATAAATTATGACAATTAACGGGCTTTAACTCATACTATTATCTGTACAAAAAATATAGACTCACCTTTTGGTATATTCGTAGCCGGTGGATTAGATTGGTAGCATTGACCATCAGCGACGCCATCCGAGGCACAAAAGAAGGACGTCCCGTGCTTATTGTAAGGTCATGTACACGGTAGCAAGTGTCGCGCCCTTTTAAGGATAAAAATCTACACCTACCGCTTCTAAGGGCTTTAGGCCCAGTACCGTAAAAATGGAAGGTCCCTCTTTGTCAACGAACAACATGTCAATATGTCTGAGCCAAAGCCTTGAAAATAAACGAAGATGGTTGCTGAAGTTGTTGATTTGTTTAGCCAAAAACCATCGAGCTTTAAAAAGTTAAGCGAGTGCTCACTGCAGAAGATGAGTAGATAAAAGAGAATCACTTGCAGCGTGATTCTAACGGAAGGCCCTCGAGATGGTTGCTGGCCCATTGCCTAGCAGAAAACCATCGAGATCTTGCGCAAGAACGAACGCACTGTTAAGGAAGTCATGATCCAATGTGAAGAGGACCAAAAGAATATCGCTCTCTTGCAAAGGCTAATTCGAAGATTACCATATTCAAGGGACAACTACAAGATGTCGAGGGTGTATCTAACCAAAGTATAACCCGCGTACGTCGATTACAGAGGGAATTGGAAGCCACCGAAGACCGTGCCGAAACCGCCGAAAGCAATCTGTCCTTCATCCGCGTTAAACATCGCACTTTCGTCACCTCCAGCACAGTACCTGGCTCCCAAGTCTACTTGGTACAAGAAACACGAGCAACTTCCGAAATCTAATCATCTCCTATTCTAGCTACTAATAAACTGCCCATCTGGTTGAAGGACCAAATGTTTTGTGTAAAACTAGAAAAATGCAACATTTTGACTGTAAATAAATTAGCGAAACATAGCAACTATAATTGTGAATAAATTACGAGAATTAAGGGGCTTTAACTCATACTTTTGTGCCTCGGATGGCGACGCCATCTGAGGCGCAAAAGAAGGGAAGTCCCGTGCTTACTGTAGGCTGTCTCGGTAGCAAGTGTTTCGCCCTTTTAAGGATAAAAATGTGCACTTACCGCTTCTAAAGGGTGGTTAATGGTTCGTAGGGCAAGTGTATGCTATAAATCAACTCTATTGTAGGGCGCTTTGAAATACTTTCCAAACATAACAAAACAAGTCGAATTCTCTGAACAGATTAAATGTGTTTAAGCCAGTTTAACCATGAGATTTTACGAAATAACAGGAAACAATATATTTTAAAGCAACTAAGTTAGAATATACCATCAAGATAGATCATATTATAGTACAGTAAAAGAAAGTAAAAAATGTAAAATATGAAAATAAATACTACATACTTTCCCAAACAGAAGTATTCTACGGATAATCAAACTGGCGGTTCTATTTATCTACACTTTTATTTACTACTTGTTGTACAATCGATTTATTTCATTCTATAATATACAGACTAAACTGACTGTACGTAACAATGATGGGTGTTTATATAGCTGTTGAAAAATATCCTAGATAATTCAGATAATCAATCGAATAATTCAAAAGTAGTTCAGTCTTCCAAATCCGGTTTATGGCCAAATACCATGTGACCATGTGTATGATTGATTTACGCCGAAATTACATCGGACAGTTTACTGTGCAGGTTTACTTAAGGTTAGTGGATTCGTGCAAAATTCACTTGCTCTCAGGTTAGCAAGCCAGGTATTCCTCTTCGTCCTGGGGCCCTTTTCCCTTCAATTTTACCTTGTAAAATGCATTGAAGTAGCTCGTATCTGCCTTGATTTCTCATTATTAAATTATTTTTAGAAAATGTTTGGAAATCCAACCGATTACCCAACCGTTAATCTTGATCTTGAAGAAATGGTTACAATTTACCCAAATGTCAGAGCATATAACAACTTATGCATTGGCAACGTTGGTGATATTTTATTTGCAAGTAAATGGCTATTTGTTGTCCGTTAAACAACTCAATGAATTAAATCCAGAACCGGCACCAGTTATTAGTGGTAAGTTTGATTAAGTAACATCTATTATAAAATTTTATGTATGTATACGTATTGTTATACCTTCTTATTTTAGAAAATTATAAAAAACGATAGGACTCTTCCACCTTTGAATTCAAATGTGCAATTTTTGTTCATAATTTTTATTTTTAATGAAGTGGGGAGAAGGTGCTAAGAATCCTCCGGTTGCCACAAATATTTAGATTTAAGCATGATAAGAAGATTGGTACATAGAATGTACGAAGTTTATTCCAGGCCGGAAATGTGAATAACGTAATTAAAGACATGCGAAGACTTAACATTGACATACTTCGATGCAGTGAAGTTAGATGGCCGAATTTAGGCCAGTGCGAAATAGAAAACCACACAATATACTACTGTGGAGATACTACAACAAGAAACAAAAACGGAATGGCTATAATAGTAAATAAAGAAGTTAACAAATGTGTACTTAGTTTTATAGGAATATCAGATAGAGTTGTAGTACTCAAAATTAATGCTAAACCAGTTAACGTGAACATTATTCAAGCATATGCTCTAACTTCGGAAAGCTCAGAGCAGGAAATAGAAATATTCTATGAACAATTGAAAGAATCCCTAAAACACACCAAAAAACAAGAAGTGAATATCCTGCTAGGAGATTTCAACGCCAAAGTAGGCAAAGGAGGTATCGGCAATACTGTGGGACACTTTGGACTAGGAACGCGAAATGATAGAGGAGACCGCCTTGTTCAGCTCTGTCAGGAAGCGGATAGTGCAATAATGAACACCTTTTTCCAGTTACCACCTCGAAGACTCTACACCTGGAAATCTCTAGCTGACTGTCAACAAACGATTTCAGATTTCCGTAAAATCCGCAAAAACATATCCTGGAGCAGATGTTCCATCAGACCATAATCTTTTACTAGGACGTTTCAAACTCCACAAGAAAAAAGTCCATAAAAGAAAAGCACAAAAACGTCCGGACATCCAGAAGTTGAAAGATAAAACCACAAGAAACGAAGTCAAAGAGGAGATCAACAACAAAATAAACAGCATGGTAATCTCATAGATTAATCAAGAAAATAGTGTGGATGATATGTGGAATAAATCAAAAATATCTGTAATTCAGTGGTAGATAATAAACTTAAACCAGAAAACAATATAAAGAAACAGCCGTGGATGAGACAAGAAATATTAGAGCTAATGGAAGAAGAAGAAAACACAGAAATAAGAATGTGGAAAGGTAAAAAAATAAACAAAATCATTAAGAAAAAGATTAAAGAAGCAAAAGAATCATGGCTACAAGATCAATGCATAGGAATAGAATCCATAGAACAGAAGCATGACACTTTTAACCTACATAAAAGATAAAAAACTTAACGGGAGGAAACGGATCACGAAGTCACAACTTAATACTAGACGAGCAAACAATCTGATGTACGAAAATGAGAGAATACTGAGATATGGAGGCAATACATGGAAGAATTATTCAACGAAGAGCAAGAGACAGAAGTCAGTGTTTCTGGATGTTCAGGACCAGAAATAACGCTCAGTGAAGTAACATATGCAATAAAAAGACTAAAAACCAACGAAGCACCTGGACCTGATAACATACAAGCTGAAATATTGAAACTAGTTGAAAACAACCAACTCAAACTCCTAACCAGTCTACTGAACAAAATCTATGAAACTGCAAAATTTCCTACAGATTGGCTAGTTTTCACTTCATCTCTCTTCCCAAAAAGGCAAATGCACCAGATGTTCTGATTACTGAATTATAAGCTTAATGAGCCATGCACTCAAAATCCTTCTTTATCTTATTTACTCTCGCATATATAGAGAACATTATTGATGTATTGATGACAAAGATTTACGCCTAGTTAAAATTTTATACTTACAGCAAAGAGCAACTGTACGAGTAGACAACGAAACCTCACAAGAATTCGCGATAAAACGGGTACGTCAGGCACGAAACCCTTGAAAATAGTCGACAAAATAAGATTTTATGTAATATGCACTTGAACATTGATATAAGAACATGAGTCTTGAGATGCTATGTATTTTCTATCCTTTTATATGAAGTCGAAGCCTGGACCTTGGCGGAGGCAACATCCAAACGATTAGAAGCCTTCGAAATGTGGTGCTACTGCCGCGTGCTCAGAATTTCCTCTATCCATCATGTTACAAACAACACCTTGATCCAACGTATGAATAAAGATCTGGAAATTATACGTATCGTGAAAATCAGAAAGATGGCATACTTAGGGCATGTGATGCGCAATGAGAAGTATCAACTAATTCAACTAATTTTACAAGGCAAGATAGAAGGCAAAAGATCTCAAGGGCGCAGAAAGACATCGTGGTTGAAGAACATCAGACAGTGGGCAGGAATGACTACCATACATCTATTTAGAGCAGTTGTCAACAAAGTTGTATGGACCAACGTGATTGCCAACATCCACAGAGAATAGGCACCAAAAAAAGAAGAATGAACCCATCCCGTAGATTTTTGGAAGCATAGCTTTCCTACTATAAGTTCCTTAACAAGCTGATCTCAACGAACTAATGTAGGATCTATTATGAATAATACAAGGTGAAATTATGTATAATTTTCGTTAAGACATAACATTTTGAAATTAATAATTTATCACGTTTCAAATATAATGGTATTTTTTTAAATTAAGTAAAACAGGCATCATATTTCTAAACAAAATGCCAGTATATTGGGTTTTTTAACATTTTTGCCATGAACAGCTAAAAACTGTCTAAATAGGTCAATAATTAAACTAAATGGATAAATAATGTGGATTTTTATGTCAGTCGTTGATGTGTTGATATTTTATATTGAAACAGTATTAAAATCAAATTTCTAGCAAAAGAAGTAATATGATATTTAACTGAGACTCACGAAACTGAGATTTTAGTGATAATCAGTTATCAGTTACCCAATATTTCGCAAGATGTTTAAAAATTCATTCAAAATTTATAGAACCTGGGCATGTCAAACGATTAAAACGGAAACCGCACTTCGTTGAAGATAACGTGAAAGTGGATAAATACTTTGTCAAATTGATTGTTAAAATTCGAGTAATACAACTGTCTTAAGGTGTCTCCATTAAGAAAAACTTCATCTATATAATAAAAGAAGACGATTCAGATCGTAGAATAGATTTCTGTCCAAGAATGATGAATAAATTGAACAGAAATTAAATGGCTGTTGGTACAATTTCATTTTTTAAAATGAATCAACATTCACATTGAATGGGGAGATAAACCGACAAAACTGTAGGTATTGGTCTGCGGAGAATCCTCATTGAATCACAACAAGAAATACACAAAGAAAGCATTTTGAGCATTTATTTTAATGTCTTAAAGAAAATTATAATATTTAATAAATAATAATAATTTCAAAATTTGATCTTGTATTATTCATAATAGACCGACCATACATGATATAGTTCTTTAAGACCAGTCTGTAAAAAAGATAAAAATATACAGAGTGTTTTATTATCTTGCGTGAATCAGCCTATACAGTTAAATTTATGTTTAATAAGGGCACATTTAATAAAAATGGTTCCCGTTAAATATAATAATGTTTTATTTTCGTTTTAGGATGGAAAACTATACAATACACAGCGCCTTTAGAAGTTATGAAGAGTCAAGTTATTCAGTACAGTGGTTCAGTTGTACCTCTTCTAAAAGGGTTCTTTAAGTATTATGCTTCATTTAACTATTTTGATGATGTAAGTATGATTAAGGTTATAATTTGTTTCCCGTTTTACCTCTTTAAGAATAGTCTGGTAAATAAATATTAAGAATTAAAACTAAGATGAAATTCGTGTGAGCTGAATAATCTGAATCATTATTTAAATTAATAATAACAAAAAATATGTTGACATTGTATGATTAATTTTCGGAGTACCTTACATACTTTTTTCCGATGTTTCATTAAATGGTACTGCAGTTATTAAAGTGATCATTTATCGATATCCACTAAACATATTGGCCAGAAATGTGCACTAAAAAAGGCCATGAGAAAATTTTCAGTATATAGTTTATTTTAAAATAAAATTTAATTCGATTGTTCCCTTTTGTAGACCGTTTGTCCGTTATTGGGATGCACCATCCAAAGAAAATTATTCGAGGATCCCAGAAAGCTACCGCCAGAAATGAAATCGTATGTGAAGCAATTGCGAGGAGAGGAGCCCGAAGAGTTTAGACATCTGTCTCCGTTTCGTATACAAGATCCATTTGATCTAAGTCATAACCTTACCAAAGCTTGTCAAGGGGTCAGTTTGACTGCGTTTAAAAAGTATTGTAATTTGACATATGAATACTTGTGCAAAATAGAATAAGGTTTTATTTGTATTATATAAATCGAAGGATGTACTTATTGACACGTATATGCTTTATACAAGATTTATATATTTTAATCAAAGAATGTATATTTTTTATAGAAAAAAAATCAAAATTGTTAAAGTACCTAGTATGATATTTTGGGTTTGTGTCATTTATTTGTAAGAAGCTTTCCATTGGTTTTTCTTTATAGATCTTGTAGAAATTTTGTGGAAAATTTAGCAACATCCTATAACTTAATCTATAGAGATAGCTTCAAGACTGGTTGATTGCGGTCCTTCAGTCACCCCAGAATCTAATTTACTGCACAAGCAGTACTAATAGTAGTATAACCCAAATAAAGTACTGAAATGACTACAGGAAAAGTAGAAAGCTTTCGTTTGGAAAATGAGTAATTTTTATACTAGTTTTCTAATTAGATCTGCAGAAAAATAGCTCACTTTAGTTATAATGTGTAGAACCTTGCTCCAATTGAAAAAATTTGCAATTCAGAACAATTTAAAACGAAAAGTCGACGTTACACATGCCTATTTTTTTAATTGTTTATCCTGAGTATTTCAACAAGTGTCGTATGGACGACAAAATTGGATAGAAATAATATTTCAACAATTCAAGTTTCTATCAAAAGTTGTTTGTAAAATTAAAAAAACAATCAAAGCGTAGAAATGAGAATCCGCTAAAAAAAAGGGGAAAGATTTGAAATTTTTTTTTGCGGATTATCAAAAAGCTTTCAATGTTTGTAATAATTTGGTATTATGAATTTTTAAGATATTTCCAAATCAACGATGTTGAGAAAAAAAGGATATTCGTTTTCTGTTTTTGCATAATCGTTTTGAAATACAACTTAATCTGTAATATTTTATTACGCTATAAATCGCTATTTTTTACGTATAGAAAAGCAAACAAACTCTTTAACCCATTTTAAAAAACTAAAATTGGATGTGTGACATCCTGGGGAATTTTTTAAAAAGTGGTCCGATATATATCGTATTTTTTTATTCAAATTTAATATAATTATTATAAAAATATCAATGTTTCAAATCATTATTCTATAATAAAAAAGTTATTGCATCTTCCTTTTTCGGTGTCTATCCCTATCGTCTATTGGCAATCGTCATGGCCACTCGTGTCTTGTCCATCGCTGTCCTGTAGTTATAGAAAACCATGTGCGTTAATTTTTAAGTTGGGAGATTCACCTGTGCCCGGGACCTCTTTTTCCCATTACTTTTTCTTGCAAGATTAGCTGTAGCAGTCCATAGCAACCAGTAACTTTTGATAGGAAATTTAATTGCGAGCAATTTTACTTTCATTCATTTTTGTCGAAAATATGAAACTTTGCGAGATATTAAGCATGAAAGGTTAAAAAATAGTGACCACAACGTCGATTTTTAGTTTTAAAATTGTCTAAAATAGTTATAAAACTTTCCAGGGGTATTTATACAAAAAACCATTAACTACAACTAATTCTAAAAATCTCTATTAGTCTATTACCACTTTCAAGCAAAAATCTCATGATACTGTTTAAAAAACTAAAATTAAATATAAACATTATAATGCATCAAGACTTTTTGTGGCTTTTATTTTAAAAGAATGTAAGAGAGAACATGACCAAATAATTTATCAGTTCTCTATTTCTCTATATATTAGTTTTTTCAGTTGTTTATGTTATGTAATTTAAGGTTAAAAGTCCTCTTGCTTTTTTTAATAAAATTAAATTATAAATGTTGTGGCTTTTATTTTAAAAGAATGTAAGAGAGAACATGACCAAATAATTTATCAGTTCTCTATTTCTCTATATATTAGTTTTTTCAGTTGTTTATGTTATGTATTTAAGGTTAAAAGTCCTCTTGCTTTTTTTATAAAATTAAATTATAAATGTAAATATTAGGTTGTGATTTTTATCTAATGTCTATTGTTGCTCCTTAGATTTGTTTTGTGTGTCTAACTAAAGCCCCCTCCCAATTATTTTTGGATCAATGAAACATTCATAGTTTTTATGCCATTCAAAATGGCGGATGGGTGCCATTTTGTAAGAGAATTTTAAACGGGCCACGTACAAGAAATCATTCCAACAAGTCAATTTATTTTTTCAACTACCCACATTCTGATATAATTCATTTGTTTATTTATTAATATCTGTAAAAATATGATGACATCGCTATTTCAGTTACTTAATTAACATTTCAATTGCAACAGTTTACAAAAGAGTATGGTCTACACCTAATAAATTCTTATAGTAAAATTCATTAAGCGATGCAGGGAGATGTAAACATTAAATTGTGTCCGAACCTGTATGAGCTGCCGACAACGTCGGCAGTAACGAAATAAAGATGGACATTTCGGTTAGTTTTTATATACTCTTGAAGAACTGTTACTTGCATGTATGCATAAAATATTCAATAATTTTATAAATCGGATTATTTTTTCACTTACTATATATTCAGTGATAACAATAATGTATTTACTATGCAATAAATACTAATAGTGGTTTACTATATAACTGGGAATAAGCCACAATTAAAGGTTAAAATACGTTTATTGACGTTTCAATTTCCACTTCGGAAATCGTTCTCAAAATACAAACAGTAAATTGTGAAATAAAGCTTTAGAACAATACTAATAGTGGAGAAAGACAAAAATTAATAAAGGGTCCTAATTATATTGTTACTTATCGGAACGAGTAAGTAACTCATTTGGAACATCTTTAACAATTATCTGTTAAATGTATCGTTGTTTATATGCCCTGCATCGCTTAATGAAATAAACTTTTAGTCTTTTATATGTAGAAAACGTTCTAAAAAGTTATTTTTATAAGTCTGATGAAAAGCCATGTGTTTAGTTATTGACATGTGTCAAAAGTATGACGTCATCGACATTTTTATTAAATGACAGTATATGGCAAAGCAAGAGCTTTCACATTATGTATTACATGCCATTAAAGACAGATTTCGGTGACAGATGTCATATTTTTAACAAATTTCAATGAATGACTAAATATTTTTACAAAAATGTGGAGAACTGTAAAAATAAATTGACTTGCTCGATAATTTTTTCCTAAAAACTTCTGCAAAGTGCTGCAAAATAGTCCATACATTTTCCGCATTATACCGATTGACGGTCTGCGCTTTGAAAGAAACAATGGCACAAATACCTAGGAACTTACGAACTCCCACAAGAGCTTTCAACTAATACTGTATTGCTTTTCATATGCTACGGAATGGCGCCTGTCTGCCATTTTTAATGGTTATGTCACTAAAAAAAAAGGTCAAGATAAGTATAGAATAGATGAATTGTTCAGTTACAAAAAAGTTTATTAATTTAAGATTTGTAGTTTAGAAAATATTTGGAGAATAGGGGTACAGTGAAATGTGGTTTCAAATTAGCTGAACCACATTATGGCTTTTTTTATATTTTTATGTTATATGATTTCGACAATGATTTTTGTTGTCGACTTAATAATATTCATGTTTTATGTTTTGACTTGAACAAATTACGGTTAAATATCAAAATAAAAACTAAAATATAACGATTGATTTTGTATCTAGGATTAATATCTAATTGTTTTATATTTTAAGCTTAAGACTTTAATCTAATCTCTATAATTAAAAATATTGTATGTATATCGTATGTTTTTGTATTAATATATCTACAATAAAACTTTGGTAGATAAAACAAGAATATTTAATTACATGATTAAGGGCCGGTACTTTCAGTCCTGATTAAACCCCGATTAGCTCAATTTTGTTAGCCGTTTAACTTTAACCAGCCAAAATTAGTATGGTTAACGGCCGTTTAAAGGTAATCTAGACATTCTAACATTACATTTATAAAATAAGCTTATGTTTTCTTTGATCAAATGAAAGGCAGATATCAAGTACAGTTTTGTTAATTGAATCTTACCCAAGTACTTTCGCTTCCTAGAGCATCTTCAGGGGCATTTCGTCAATTTGGCCTATCCAACAATCACAGAATATCATAAACATAAAATTGTACATAACACTACAATAATAGGATAAACAAATTATTTAAAAAATAGGCGAAGCTAATTATGGTCGGCAACAGACGTCTTATAATGACTCTCATTCTCTCTCCTGTTGCCGACCATAATGTAGCTTCGCCTATTTTTTAAATAATTTCAAACTGTTTGTCCCTGTTTATTATAGGAATCGAAAGTACTTGGCCAAGATTTAATTAATAAAATCTGTGCTCGATATCTGCCTTTCATTTGATCAAAGTTAATTTATTCGAGCATTCAACCTTATATCAATTTATTATGTTTTCGTTTTGTGTTGTGTGTGGTTATTATTAATATTATTTTAATTACTTCTTCTTTTTCTTCTTGTATGTAGGCATTAAAGCCCGTTTCTTCTTCAGTATTAGCCTCCTACATTGTTTAAATTATCGCACCATTTTTTTCTTGGCCTGCCAATACTTTTTTGTCCATTTGGTGACTTATCTCGTGCTATTTGTACTATCCTATCCTCTGCCATTTTACTAATGTGTTCATTCCACTCCTGTTTCCGTTTTGTCACCCATCCATTTATTGCATGCTCTTATGTTTTCGGTTCTCTCCCTATCCAACAGACTTTTCCCTGATATTCGTTGGAGTATTTTCATCTCTGTTGTTTCTAGTAGTCGTCTCGTTTTAGATATGTCAGGTCTTGTCTCCGCCGTGTATGTTAATATAGGTCTGATTGCTGCTTTATAGATTCTTGTTTTTGTGTCTTGTCTTAGGTGTTTCTTAATATTATGGATAGTCAAAGTTTTTCACTTGTTCCATCAGCTAAAGCGTTGGTAAGTTTTTCTGAAATAAATATGATAAATGTTCTTTAAAAGTTAATATTATTAGATGGAAGGATGCTGTTAAATTACAAGGTAATCAAATTTCACAAAGATTTATTCAAAATACCTACCATTTTTTAAAATTATTTACCGAATGAAAACCTGTTGAGGTAAGTTGATCATTAAAATATGATTTTTATCGAATTATGTAAATGTT